GCTATGTGACCTTTGGCTAGGGGGTCTTGGATTTAATTGTTGCAATTAGGCCGAGTGGTGAACCAAGGGGTCTGAGAGTAGGGTATTTTGGGAATTTTGCAATTACGGGTGAGTTTGGTCCGAAACTTTTCCATTTTTGGTCGAAACTCAACATTAATAGCTCGAGAATTGACGCTTTTAGTCCTCATCGTTATTACGATAGAATTTGACAAATTCCTCCAAGGGTATAATAGTCATTTTGACTTAAGGGAAAGGGCGGGATGTAACATGACGACCATCACCTCTTCTTTCATATCCTACTTGCGGGACTCTTCCTCAATCCTTAGGCGAGTAATCAAGCTTTTCAGTGAAAATTCTTTGGTTTTATGTCTAAGCATATTCTTAAAATCTTTCCACGAAGGGGGCAACTTATCAATAATGCAAGCAACTTGAAATTGATCGTCTAGAGGCATACCTTCAGAGACGATCTCAGGAGCTATTTTCTGAAGTTCGTGGGACTGAACTTCGACAGACTTGTCATCCACCATCTGGTAGCGCAGGTAGCAGCTGACAACATACTTCTTAGCTCAAGCCTCCTCCGTATCGTACTTCTTTTGGAGCGCATCCCAGATCATCATTGCGGTGTTCTTGCTATCCGCATAGTAGTCGTAGAGATCGTCTGCCAGGCCGTTGAGGATGTAGTTCTTGCACAGGAATTCATGCTCCTTTCCTTAGCAGAAGCAGCCCTCTCCTCATGGGTCGCTTCTTCCGGCAGCTCGACGGGCATGCTGGTGAGGCAGTGTGCCAACTTCTTGGTTGTCAAGTAGAACTCCATCTTTTGTCTCCAGCAACGGAAGTTGACTGCAACGAAGCGAAATGGTCGATTGATATCGACAGCACCAGATCCGACCATGTTGTTCTGTTCAGTCAACATAGCAGCAACCGAGCGTCTTAAAATTGTTAGGAACGGAACAAAAACAAGAACGAGGTTACCGAATCTGGAGCTGAGTCACGGACTAGGTCGCTCTCTTTAAGACGTTCGCGGCACTGCCCTCGATGCGCACGGCAGACTATCAACCGGTCGTCTCCAGGATAAAACAGCTCCTCGAATGCTTGGCGGTTTTGTGCGAAAACCGGAGCTCTCTAAACACTCTCTCTATTGTGTTTATGCTCGTTGTGGTGTGTTTAGAGGGGATGGGGAGGCGGCTATTTATAGGAGCCGAACCCCTAGGAATATACCCTCTAGCTTGGGGAATAAGTTGGATTAATTAAGGAAGATAATTACTTCCTTAATTAAAAATCATCGATTAAGATAAATCATGCGGGATTATCCTTCGAATATTTCTTTTTAATAGATTATCCTTATAATATTCCTCAGAATAATTGATTAATAATTAATTATTAGATAATTAATTTCGTTCGGAATTTCTCCAAAAAATATATACTCTCAAGGGAACCAACCAACCGATCGGACGGACGGCGCGCGCGTGTGTTAGGTCCTCCCTCTCCCACAAAAGTGGGTCACCTCAAGGGGCATGCACTTAGGAGAGAGGCTACTATCTTTATAGACATTTCACCAAGTAAAACTACAAATGTGGTAGTTATTCCAATTGAGACTCTATAGCTTTCAAAACTATTCATTCATTTCCAATAGCTACTAGTGCATCTATAGCCCCTTTCAGTTTCAAGGCCAAAATAGCCCATGTGAGATGAAATGTCCAAGTAACAAAGGTTAGAACTGCACATACTTTCAGTTCCATCTACTTTTCTTATTGTAAAAAAATCATTTGGACTTATGAAAAATATCATTTTTTATTGTTTAGTTATAATCCTCTTTTGAATACTTAATACAAAATCAATTTTTGAAAAGAAAATTTAGAATCAATTGTCATTATAATTATTTTCAATTATCATTATGTGTTCTAATAATTTAATTATTCCATGAATATTGTAACTAAACAATGTTGTAGCTTTTATAGTCATATTTTCTTTTCTACATGTTTTACCGAATGTAGTAGTTTTTATATTTTATTTATTATTTTGTTATTTTCCATTTCTTTTTGTCCTAAATTTTTTCAATTAGTGGAATATGTTTAATTATTTCTTATTTTTTTCCTTTTATCCTTTTTTTATTTTGATATATTGATGATCGATTAGGTTCTATTTTAACTATTTCTAATGGTGCTTCTAATTGAATTAGGGTGTTTAAATAGATATTCTAAAATTTATTTTAACTACTTATTATTATATTCTAGTATATTTAGTATTCTTCTTGATATTTGTTTATTATTTTTTCTAATTTATCTATTTTATTGAAAACTTTTGATTAGTGTACTATAATATGTTTAGAAGGTTTTCTAATATATTAGATAAAACTAGTTGAAATATAGTTTTGGATGTTTTTAAAAGTTTTGCGTATCAAAAAGTTATTAAAGTTTGGGTCGAATGGAAAAGTAGACGGATGCACATTTTGACAACTTTAATGGTATCCGACGCCCTATTTAAACTTAAATGATATATTTATCCCAATTCTCAAACTTAAGTGGTACTCGAGTTATTTACGTAAAGTCATCAAAAGAAATAAAAATGTTCAAACAAAAAGAGCCTCGTGCAACGTGTGGGCCCCAAGCAAGTTAACAATCAATGGAATTGTAGCTTCTTTTGCTTATATATATATTTTTTTTTGGTGATATTCTTTTGCTTATATTTTCCCAGCCCGCCCTTTGTTATCCTTGTAATTAATAATCAATAGAATTGTAGTTTCCCTTGATTCCCAACGATGCTAAAGGATTCATCGCTTCTTTCAAACTAGTTTGTATGTTTACACCTAAAATCAATTTGGATTAAATTAAATATCGTATTAATTAGTCTCGGTATTTAATTCGATATCGCGGGTAAAAAAACGGTGTTGTTTGGAATCGAGCAACATTGCGGAAAAGTAAAACGACACTGCGGATCAGAAAACGGTACCGCAAGGAAACTCACCGATACCGCGGCAATGGAAACGACACTATTTACCAGAAAACAGGATGGGGGCCGCGCACGTAGTATTGGTGTTGGAAAAGGAGTTATTATTATTATTATTTTTTTTATTCCTTGTCAGAAGGGGAGAAGCGGTACCGCATGGAGACAAGCGGCATCGCGGAAAATAAAAACGGTACTGCGGATTTAAAAACGATGTCGCGAGAGCCTTGATAAGCGGTACCGATTAAATAAATAAAAAAACAATATTGGGTAAGTGACCAAAATTCGCCCAGCCCAATGTGAGGGCAGACTCGAGCGGTTCCATGAATTGATATTTTTTGGTTATGTTAGCGGTATCGTTTAATTAAAAAAGGTACCGCGAGCAAGTTCAACGGTACCGCTGTACTAGCAAACGACAGTGTTTAATAAAAAAAACAATGTCGCAAAAGGAAAAGCAAACGGAGCTGTTTGGGAAAGGAAACGACATCGCGGGATCATGAAAACAACTCACGTAAAGTTCACACGAAGCAGTTTGAGGAACGAAGCGGTTGAGACACGTGGGAGTTCTCCGGACGACGAAGCAGTTGACACGGAGTTGCGTGAAGACTACGAAGCAGTTTTTCGAATAAAAGTGGTGGAGCAAGGAGAGAGAAGGGAGAACCAAAAATCAACATAGATCAACTCTGTTCAAACTTTACATTTTCTCTGTAACTCCTTCGCGGAGCTCTCCTTCCAGGAAGGATATCCATAGTTGTAGTCTTAGTCGTAGTCGCGGAGCTCTCCACAGGAATCTCCATAGGAGTAGCGGTAGTGTAGATTCCTCAAAAAACTCAAACACCCTCGTTCGAACGTAGTTTGGAGAGGTGCGAACCGTAGTAACGGTCGCGTTGGTTAGAAGTCAGAGGTGCATCGATCAGATCAACATCGCCCGGTGGTGGATATTTGACGGTCACGTTGATTTCACTATTCAGAGGTGCATCGATCAAATCAACATCGCACGGCGGTGGATATTTGACGATCGTCATCGTTTTCAGAAGTCAGTTGCACTGATCAAATCAACACCGCCCGGTGGATATTTGACGGTCACGTTGATTTCAGCATTCAGTGGTGCGTCCGATCAAACGGCACCGCAAAAGTTTCCATCACGAAACATCAAATCAAAATCACCGAAAACGAATTCGGCACCGGCGGTGATATTTGGTTTTTCTCGGGAAACAGCTATCGTTTCAGAAATGGGACAATCCTTGTAATTGAGAAAGGAGACGATATGATTAAGAAGAAGAAAATAGGTACAGTGGATCTAATTTGAATGGAGGAGATGGTGGACAGAGATTCTCACAGCGGGAGCTCGAGCCAAAGGCGAAGAGTTCTTTGTTGGATCTGATTTAATTAACTAGAAGGTTTACAAAGGGGTTGCAAAAATATATTCCATTAAAAATATTAATCATTAGAAGAAAAATTTAAAATTTCAATAGTTCTTATTTTCCTACATGTTACATGCGTTAATGACACATATAAGTGCCAATTCATAAATGCTCAGATCAAGATTGATCACTCTCTCTTAGTTCAACCGTTAACTCTAACAATCAACTGAAATTCGGGTAACATAAATAGCGCCGACCCTTAATAGTTTGAAACATTACTGACAATTTCACTAGATATTAATATTTTTAGTGTTATTAACCCTAATATTTAAGTCACAATATCAATAACTAAAGTTGAGTGGTAAATATGGTTTGCAATCAGTTGGTGCGAGTCGAACCAAATCATATTTAGATTGAACCATAACAGACAGAATATATATCAAATCGAACCAAATACAAGGATTCCGACTCAAATTCCCAGGGGAGAGTAGAAGTAATTAAGCAACCAATTACATATATAAGTGAAGGCTCGATCGATGACCCAATTGGAAATTGGAAACTTATGAAACGAGAGTGAAAATCATATTATTCGATGGAGTAGTGGGCAATGCGCAGAGCATCTTCAGGCCTCTGCGGGGGATTGGTTACATCCTTCTTAATCAGCTGCAAGTATTCTCCGAACTGAAACTTGCGCTACTTGGGGCGCTCTCCAAGTTGGTCAGTAAACTCCGGCAATGGCTCCACCCATTTCTCCGGCGACACGCTGTAGAAAAACGAGTACGAGTAGCGGCTCCTTGCCTTTGGCCTCGTCACCCTGTGCATTGCGCTCTTCAACTTGTCGTTGGTCAACACCTTCACCACCGTTTATATTATTAGTAGTTTTGGATCTGGAGGTTCCAGGTTCGAATCATTTCGGTACGTACAACATAATTATAAAAAATAAAAATAATTGAATACAAACCTGGATGGTCTCTCAGACGTTGACGATGATGGCGCCCGGTGTCGGAGTGGCCAGAATCCACTCTCCGTTTTTGCAGACCTCTAGCCCTCCGGCGTCGTCTTGTATGACGAAGGTGAGGGAGTTGCCATCTTGGTGGGCTGTGATGCCTCTGTCTTCCTCCTCCGTTGCCGGGAAATACCGGCGAGCGACCATGAAATCCCAGTTCCTGTCTGAGTTAAATTGTTGGATCACTCCGGTGGGGAGACCCAAGCAGTCGTTGATTATGCCCTCGATCAAGCCTCCGGTCTTGCTCAGGCACGAGAACACCTCTTCCATCACTTCCCTGAGATTTTGTATCCACTTTCATTAAATGGTTGGTTTGGTGATGGATTTATCACCCAAATTACAAGCATAATGGATTTAAAACAAATCCTTTGTTTGCTTGTGAAAAATGAAAGAACCAAACCTGTGATCCCCACAGATTTGCCACATATTTGTAGATCCCCAATGAAAGATGAGATTTGGGATATGTGTTCAATTTCATGATGGTTAATGCTATTTTATCCTCATAAAATTTATTTTATCACGATTTTATTTCTTTATTGTCTTTTCTTTGAGAGAGGAATTTGACTTATGAGAAACGAAATCAAACTTCCATTTGTAGCAATATGGCGAGAGAGTAATAGAATTTGACAAAGATTAAAATACCAGAAAAACCCCCTTATTCTTCTTCTTACTGATAACTAGCTTTCTTCCCGGCCAATGGCCGGGTTACTTTTATGTTAGTCTAAATTAATATAATGTTCAAACTATTTGTGATTTGTTAATATTTTAGGTTAATACAATTATTTTTAATTATATATCAATATTTTTAATATTAAACTCACTTTAAATTCATCTAATTATGTACCCAATATGATGTGAAAATTATTTGTGATTTGTTAATATTTTAGGTTAATACAATTATTTTTAATTATAAATCTGTGTTTTTAGTATGAAACTCACTTTAAATTCATCAAATTATGTACCCAATATGATGTGAAAAGATAAAAAAAAACTGCAGGGTAAGTATCTAATGCATATGGTAAGACTAATATTGTCGTAAACTTGTTATGAACATCATCAATTATTTATAGGAATTGTGATTAACATAGTTAAATAGAGAAAAGAGATCTTAGAACTAAGGAGCGACTCATCATTGCATTCATTCAGTTTATATCTTGTCTAAGTATCAATTCGGTCCATTTTTTAATATCTATAATTATAATATTATTAGAATTAAGAATCGGACCGCATCATGTTTGATCAGGTACGATCTGATCCAAACGTCGAACTTGTCCAGTGCGGTACAATACAGACCAAACAATTGCATATCCCTACATATATGCACTTTTTAAAAATACTTACTATATGTATGTCAAAAGTTTTTATTTTACGTGCATTTGAAATATATATATAAAATATATATATATATAATATATATGAACAAAAAAATTGATGTATATATTTACTAAAATAAGAACATATTAAACGTCAGTGTAAAAAGAATTGATTGACAAATGATTTATTAACTAACTATTTAAAAAGGTTAACTTAAACAAATAATTAAAATGTTCCCGTTTTTTATGAAAAGCAGCCAAAAAATTTCAAACCTAAAAAATAAAAAAACAAACGAAATTTTTTTCCATTTTTATGCCTAATTAAAATAAAATTGGAGATAAAATCGCAGCCAGAAAACCCGGAAAATAATACAAAAAGGAAAAAGAAAATTTTATTTCCGAAAATTGCGGGGAGAACTACAAAGCTTACGTGGATGGGGTCTTTTTCTTAAACTGCTTTAATATATTTTATAGATAGATAGATTAAGCAAAAGAAGCAACGAGAGGCGCCATTTTTGAATCGACAATTGCTAGAAACTTGAAATTGCCATTCAAATTTCTCGCATTTTACTGAATCGCTATTCGTCGCACTAAAATTTAAAGTTTATCGCCCTAAACAATACTGAAATGACACATATATCCCTACCCCAAATCAAACCTAGACCCTTCTCTCGGCAACCAAAATGGTCACTATACTTGAGGTCGCTACCCAAATCCCGCGACTTTGTATTCATTCCGGTGACCATTTGTGGCTTGACCCATCCGAAGAAGAAGGGGAGGCAAATTCGTTTCGTTGACCCGGAACGTTTAGGACGGGTTGAAAAGCGGTTCGATATCCACGAAAAAAATAAGGGCATTTGTGTAAATTCAATAAGATTTAGCGCGACGAATAAGCTATTTTAGGGCGACGTATAGCAATCCCCGCATTTTAAAGCCTTGTGGCTAATTATTATATGAACTTGTTATAAATCGTAAGATTATAACTATAGACTGTGATTGGTTACACATTTTTAAAATTACTGTGACTCTAATAGTTTTATGAATTTGCTATAAAATGTCATCTTGAGGCACAAATTACCAATATGGCCATGATAGAAACCTGATTTTTGGGTTCTATCATAATAATAAAATTATGATATTATTAGATATGGTTAGTAGTCATTGAGTCATATTAGAATAGTCCATTAGATTTTTCGATATTTAGCTATAAATATGTACTTTGGGTTCTTTGTTCGATAAAGCAGAAGTTAATGAAAGAATTGTTCTCCCAAATCCTAAACTCTCTATATCTCCTAATTTCTCTTCTTCCCTAATCCAAGGCTTAGGCCGATTAGTATTCTTTTCTTCTTCTTCCCTAAATTCTCAATCCCATCCCCAATCTATCTCCAAAACCATAAATCCCCAATCACCGAACCCAATCGATAGAACCTAGATATAAGTTTCTATCATCTGGTATCAGAGCCCGGTTCCGGATATGAGTTCGTCACAACTCTCAACCAGGGACGAGTTCTATAACCTGATTACCATGGTACCCGAGCGCGTATATAAAGATCTCGTACCCGACTCTTTCATATACGAACATCGAAATCGTGTTAGCCTATTCTATTCCTTGCCTGGATTCGAAGAAGAGCATGTGGTCGTACAACAAACTACATCGAATGTGCTTACAATTACAACGGAGCGCCCATTGGATTATGACAATAGATGGATACGTTTCCAAAGACACATAAGATTCAGAGCCATCTGCAACGTTGCGGATTATCCCGCTGGCTTCGACAAATTCAATTTCATCATTCAAGTTCCTAAATTAATTCCACCAGTCACCGTCAAAGAAGAAGACCTGGACGCCGAGGACCACTCCTTCAAGGCGGCTGCTCCTGACTCCGAAGAAGAAACTTCGGTAGTTGCTGCTGCCACCGTTGCGTCACCACCCGGAGAAGCCACGACGAGGGTGCCATCACCACCAACCGCCATCGTCGCACCAGTGACACCCAAAGCGACGGCCGCCAGGGAGATTGTCTCGAAGCCAATCTCGCCTTCAGCAGTTGTTGCAGACAAATCCAGCAAAGGGACTGGCTCTAGACCGACCCCAGCTCCACGGAGACCATCCATCGACGGTTGGAAGTTCAAGAAAAAGAGACCCAGGTCGAGGGAAGCCTCAGGGAATCCGATGCCAGGTGAAAGCTTGGTCATCTCAAAGGGCGGTGAGGAAAGAAAGTCACCGAGGCCGGAATCCGGCGAGACACGTAGCCGCTGGGTGGTCTGCTTGTCGGAGGAGAAACAAGAGGCGACGAACAGAAGGTAGAACTTCCCAACGTCGCACGTCGCGCAAGCCGTGCCGCAGCTGTTGAAAGCTCCGTCTGCGGCGATGACGGCTGAGACAGAGAACCAGAAGCCAAGGGCTGAAGTGGGTTGGCCTTCCGATCGCCTGATGAGCAGCCTGTCGTCGACGAATTAGAAACCGGAGAAGAAGACGACACGAGGGCCGAGTGAGGCGACTCTGTCGTCGGCTGCCAAACTCCTGGTGTCTCGCTCGTGTCCGGAGAATGAGCCGATGAGGCCACCGCCAGAGCTTAGAAGGGTGGCGAAGGCTGGACTCTTGGCGGAGGAGAAGTTGACGTCGACGGCGGAAATCGAGCAGTTCCCACAATCTGCTCCCTTCGTGGCGTCGATGATGAGGTTGGGAGCGGACCGGCAGCTGTGCCATCGGAGGAGTTGCTCGCCGCCGAGAATGGAGAAGAAGAAGCACGGCGGCGGGACTCTCTGCTTGGCGCCGAAGAAGCCATCGCCGCCGGAGGAAGAGAGGTCGACGGCATGGCAAATGAAGGCCTAGACAAGGCCGGAGTCGGGTTTCGCTCCCCGCTGCCTGGTGCTCTGTTTGCCGCCTAGGAAGAAGATGGCAGAGGCAGAGGCAGAGGTGAAGAGGGCTGGCGGCATCTCTCTCTCGAACCCTAGGTCGGCCGCTCTAGACTGCGCAACGGGCCTGGTCTGGTCATATAAGGTGAGTGGGCTGAAGATGGGGGAGGGACGGGCCTCATCCGGGCCTAGTGACCTCGCAACCCAACTAGCAGCAGTTGAGGGAAAATGGACAGGCTTGGCAATGAGTAATGGGCCGCGAGGAAGTGGGCCTGAGACTTTCTCAAAAAGCAGGGCAGAAGAGAGATACGATGGGCTCACTCTGAGCGGGTTAATTCAGTTGCTCAATCCGAGGAGTTGGGTGAAATGGGCCGAACCAGAAGGTTGTCATAAGACCAACATGGGCTGTGTTTTGAGAAAGGCGAATTTTGGAGAAGGGTTTGTAGGCTTAGTTGGTGGGCTTAAGGAGTTGAGAGATGGGTCAAGAGATTATGGCTTAAAAGCTATCAAAGATCCAATAATGCAATTTAATGGGCTAAACCCAACAAAGAGCTTTAAGGGCCTTGCTGAGTTGGTTCTTAAAGATAGATTTTTGTACAAAGAATCATCTTTGGATTTCTTAGTTGCTGGATTGTGAGCCCAACAAAAGAAGAGCTATTGAAGTTAGAATTTGCCAAGGAAGCGAAGGGTGGGCCCATAGAAGTGAAATTCGAAGAGTTGGACCGGCAATTCTCCAAAGCTTAGGCCGATTCTTATTCTTTTCTTCTTCTTCCCTAAATTCTCAATCCCATCCCCAATTCTATCTCCAAAACCTTAAATCCCCAATCACCCAACCCAATCGATAGAACCCTAGAAATAGGTTTCTATCAGGCCACAAAGTATAAATCAAAAAAGAAGAAGGGTAGCAAGGTAACATACATATTAAAGCTTTAAATCCTAACTCAAAATTCCATTATCAAATCGACTAAATAAACAATTGACTCTTTCAAATCCATAATACACCAAAATCTTAATAAATTCAATGATTTTCACAATCCAAATTATGACCAAAATCCTCATTTTAAAACCCAACAAGCAAACCGCTCCTAAATTTCTAAACAAATATTCCAAAATAGCACATATTATGTTTTCGTTTTAATGGTGATAACACATTACGTATTATGTATAGCAATTTTTTTCCAACTCCATGGATATTTCCTTATCCAATCCAATTGGATTGGGTATGAAATCCAAATACATGATAAATAGGTTGAGTTTGATATGTTTATACCAAGGTTGTCAAACCGGTTTATGCCGGTGTGCCGGTTTTGAAAGTGGAATGGTCCGACCGTGGTACAACCAGTATTCACGCCGGTTGTGCCGGTTTTAATAAAATATATGAGACAAATGAAAATCCTCAATTCCAAATAAATTAGTCATCAAAAAGCAATTAGAAAAATTATTTCACACAAAATAATTTATAGCTAAGAATTGGTAATTAATACTAAACAATTAGATGCTTAAAAATAAAAGTATATAAAATGAATTTTATTAATATTTATAATGATTTGTGTAAAATTTAGTGTTAGATATATAATATATAAGATTAATATGTACAACAAAGTTGCTTGTAGTCTACTGGTGTATAAGAGAGTCTAAAATGAACAGGAGGTACATGGTTCAAATCCTAAGGAGGGCATTTATTTTTGGATAAAATAGGTGTAACATTGAATTCCGGTTTCTGGTCTAACCGGCCGGAATTTCCGGAATTGACCGGGTCTGACCGGTATTGACCGGATTTGACCATAGTTAAATACCGGCCTCTTTCCAGCCGGTTTGGTGACCGGTACCGGTTGTACCCGGTTGAACCGGCCGGCATGAGACCGGTTTGACAACCATGGTTTATACCCATACCCTTATGCAAAATATAGCTTGGTACCTAAAATTAATATATCTTTAGAATTGGTGCCATTGTTTTGCAGATAAGTCCTAAAAGTTCAATGGAAAAAAAAAACATTTTAGTCCTAATTTTTTTTCTTACATTTTAATACCTAGATATTTAAATTTCAAATAAATCTAATTTTGTATAGGTAGTTAAAATAACCTCAAGTAAATGAGCATTCATACCCAACTCATACTCATTTAGATTATGAAAGCAATACCCATATCCTACCCAAACCAATTTACAAAACTCAAAGCACACATATAGACTTCACACATCCGCGCTACCTATAATCAATAAATCTACTTGGATTTCGGGTAAAACTATTTATCAATATGTAATTTCCATCCCTCATTATGTATGCCACAAACATATTTTTAATACACCACATATTTTTAAATCCATCATCTCCATGTTCCAAGATTTCAAACAACAAGAGTACAAATGTACAGTTACTAATATCTTACTCTGAAGATTGCAGTAATTAAGAAAAGTTACCTGAGGTCGGGAGGGTTTGTGGGAAAGACGTTGAAGGCGGAAGAAGGAGGAAACATGGAAAGGGTCTCGTTCTTGTCGAGCGAATAGACGGGCTGGTGTTGGCTGTATCCCGCCGGCAAATAGCTGCCGGGCAGGGCGCTGAACTTCCATTTCTCGTCGTCGGGGAGGTCAAAGAACGTGGCGGAAGCTTCGAGGGCGCGGTCGATGAGCCCGATGGGGACGCCGTGGTTTACTATCTTGAAGAATCCGTACTCGGAGCACGCTTCCTTCAACACCTCCATCGCCTTTGTCCTCTTCGACGACGGGGATCCCCGATGATGATCCATCTGATGATGTGCTGCTGGGGATTCTCGCCATCGATCTCTTCTGTATGGAATCAACTTGCTAGGTGATTTGACTAATTGGGTGGCTGAGATAAAGAAGTTTGTATCAGATTGTTGTTTGGAGAGATCTTAAGTTTATACAGTATGTGGTGTTCGGTTAACCAAGCAAATATAAGTAAAATATCTCTGCCCTCTTTTTTCTTGGACCACTCTCACAGACAAAGAAAGCCTCCAAAAATTTGGTCAACTTGGACGGTCACTATTATGTAAATATTGATTTATGGATGACCAATGACCTACCACATTAGATGCTCACTTGGGAGTTACATGTAACCCCTATTCCTACATTATTATCTCTCATTCATATGCATTGATATAAAGATGTAGTGGTTACCAAAGTGTGCCTATAAAAAGAGCATATTATTGTATCAAAAATGAAGAATGAATAAGAAGTACTATTTTCCTCTCTTCTCTTGTATCTTTCACTCTCTAATCTTCTTTGTAGTTGTTTATATTACATTAGTTTCATAACACGTTATCAGCACGAAGCTCTGCCAAAATTATCATTGCTCAAGCCTCAAAGACTCTCGACATAATCTAAGATATTGAATTAAGATCAGAATATGATCAAGGTATGTAATTCTTAGATCCTTTCTTATCTTATTGTCTTATTTGTGTTGAGATTATCTCATTCCAATATATCAATATGGGGTGCTACTTCTCGTATCCATTAATATTTTATCATGTCGATCTATTTGGATTAACAAGAAAAGTAATATAAGTGATGAGTTAATTTCTCAGTTCTCAGTGTTATCCTATTCTTATCCATCATACATTGATATGTGGAAAATGAAAGTTCCAAGAGCCCATATATTTCCCAGAAGTGGAAATTGAAGAATCCAAGGGCAAAAAAATAAGTGGACATGGTAACAAGAAGATTGATTTTGTATGTTACCATTATAATGGAAAATTGCATTTGTCTCGTACTTGTTTTACACAAAAGACCTTATTCTACCAAGAATCAAAGGGAAAAGCAAATTCATATACGCTCCTGCAATATCAATATTATGGAACATTTTTTTTTTTGTATTATAAGTTGGTGTATTCTCCATTAAATATGAAAATGATATTGCATTTGAGTCATTTTCATTCCCAGAAGTGAATGAAACAATCTATTCCCCGAAGTGAATGGAGCTATAAACATGATTATATATATGTTAAATGTATTGTTTGGATCTTTTCACCAGAAGTGAGAAAAGAGGAGTAAAAGGATAACTATAAATAAGGATGACACCACAATTGCATTATCAAAGTCATGATAACATAATGTACCCGTTGTACATTATAATGTATAATGAAACGCATATATAAATTCAAAATCACCTAGTTAGTGATGGTATTGTTCAAAATAAAGCTTATTTAATTTTCACAATTGTAGTATTATGATTCTTATTTTCTTTATGTTTTATTGTGACGTTATTTTTCATACATAATTTAATTTGATATCTTTACCGAGAACAATTAACTTGATAAATTCATCATTTTGTCTTAAGTTTGAACTATTCTGAATTTATTATTTTTAGTATGTTTTTGTAAAGTATGAGTACTTGAAAATTTTCATATAAACTATATGGTAGAGTACATAAATAAGAAAAAGCTTACAAAGAGCTTATGTTTGGTTACTTGAAGTAACTAAATTATGTACTCGTGATAACAATTTGTGATGATATTCACTATGAATTTGTGTTTACTAAGAATGCATCAAATCATAAGTCCCCGGAAGGGTAGAATATGGTACAAAATATGATAAAGCTTTAAAGGGAGCTAATTTTGTGGCTTGAAGGAACCAAACTACCTAGTGATGATGCATTACCCAATTAAAAGGATATTCGTAAAATGAATATCTTATCAAGAAAATAGTGAAACTAATATTTGCATCACAAATATGTACTACATGTATATTAGTACAATCAGTACACATAAAAGTGTAAACCAGAAGTTTACAAGATTGGATAACTTGATAATTGGTTGGTCCGGTTAGACCATCCCGGATCTTGATGTGAAAAAAAGTTATTTGAGAATTCATGAGAACATCATATGAGAAGTCAAAGAACTCTTCAATTAAAAGAGTTATTATGTCATGTTTGTTCTCAAGGAGAATAGAACAATTGATCATCGCTTGTATAAGAGTTGGCAAATCTCTTGAGATTTTATGGACGTGTATGCAGAACAATACATCAGTCATGTGGATCATTTGTGAATTTTATGGGTTGCTACATCAAATGGATGATCACTTTTATTTTATCTAATCGCAACCCAATGTTTGCGAGATTGATTGCCTCACTATGAATACATTTTGATGGTTTTCCAATCAAACATCACTTTTCTTAAGAGAACAAACTAAGCCTTCTGGTCTCTTGTCGAGGACATGCTAGCTGGTAAGTGATAGTATTGGTTCACATCTAACCAACAAGTTATAATAAGTTCCCCTCTTTTACAAATGATATTGGTCAAAAACCTAACATTTCTCATATGAGAATATCAGGGTGTGCCGCATACATCCCAATTGCTCCACCACAGTATCTTAAGTTAATTCTCATTGGAAATTGAGAATTTGTGTTGGGTATGATTCCCAAATGGGAAATTTGTTTGCGAAATTATTGTTTTGATGGATTACTTTTCCAACATTAAGGGGGAGAGGAAAAAAAAACAGCTAGACAAAAAGATGAGTTGGAATGATTTATCATTATATCTAGTTTTGATCCTCAAATTAAGAAACATGAATCTGAAGTTCATAAGATGAATTATCATTACCAACTATCAAATGCCTTTACTGGCCATAGGAAGTGACCAAGTCACATATACTAGCTGAGAATGCTCCAACTAAATTTGATATCCTTGTTGGATACTCTAATATAAAAAATTGTGTCTAAAAGAGCGCATGAAGCGTGATAGACCAATCGGTTCCAATTATAAACATCCTCGAGAAAGAAAAGGAGCATTAATTAGAATGGTCAACTCGAGGACATGAAAACTCAAGAAGAGTAACCAAGAATAAAATATAATTTTAGTTCCTGAAGAACACATGTCTCTGAAAGTTGTGAAAGGGAAGAGATCTCAAAAACATATTAGACTACAATACTGGAACCGAAATGAAGTCATTGTCGACGAAATTTGTTTGTTGTACTTCAGTACTGGATATGATATATACAAGTGAGGATCAAGTGTAAAAATCTATTGATGCATGCAAATGATGATGTTATTGGCCAATATAGAAAGAAATCATGAAACTTGCTCAAGGAGCATAAAGTTTAAGGACCAGAAGTCCTTGCACCTAAAAAAGGGCGAAAATAACGGGATACAAACAAATTTTTGTGCTATTGGAAAGTAAGAAATTGTGAGATATATCACATAATGTTTTGCAATGGGTTTCTCGAAGAGACCTATCATTGTTTAGGAGGAGTTATACTCCCCTGTGGTGGATGCAACTACTTTTTCAAATCAATGTTTGAAAATTGTTGTGATAGCCTATTTATTTGAATTCCTTGAAGATGTTATATATATTTGAAACTCCCAGAAGGATTAATTACTCCTAGGAGGATTAATTTACCTGAAGTAAACAAGTAAAGTTCTCGAGAACATATATCGATAGACTAAGAAAACCCCTTGTGTGGGTTGAGACAATATAGACGAATGTGAAATACTCGTCTAAGTGAACACCTACAACAGTAGGGTGAATGGACGTTAAAAGGTTAAATCCGGATAGAGTCATTAGAGCATTTGCATTGTGCATATATAGTTGTGTTGTCTGTATGTGCTTCAAGGATTTTAAATTCTTGGTTTATAAGTTGTGATTTACTTTAAAGTATGAGTTGTGTTTTATGAGTGTGCTTTGTCTAGTTCATATGTTTCTATGATGTGTGTTTTGTTAATATCTTTCATGATATGAAAGAATTGCTTGCTTCAATTTGTTTTAGTCAAGGTTTTTTTTTTTTGTGACGATCTCATATTATGTTGATGATATGAGTATTATTGGAGCTCCTGAAGAGCTTCCTAAAGATGTTGATTGCGACATAAGTTAAATTGAAGGATTTAAGATCCTTTTATGGGAAAGGAAGGTAATGTTGAAAAAGTGGAAAAGTAATTTTGCATGAACCAAATTGTGTTCATCAAATAACATTAGGATCCTAAGATCACTAGAAGTGACCAAAGATCCATTTAGGCATCAAGAAAGAAGCGAAACATTAGGTCCTGAAGTACCTTATGTTGATGTACTAGATCCTGAAGTACCATATGTTGATGCATCAGAGCACCAATGCATCTTGCTAGCCAAGCATCATGTAAACTATCATTTTGGTGTTGATAATATTAGCAAAATACAATTTTTCTCTCAATGAAACGTTGGAAATACTTTGTTACCTTCAGGAACAATATATGCGATTGTTCTATTATGGTATTGTCAAAGAGAGATTTGGTGAACTATATATCCAAATCCTATATATTATTTGATCCTCATATTGGTTGATCAGAGATGAACTACCTCTTACATATGGTGATGTGATTCTTTCATAGATATCCAAAACAAACTATAGTAGGCAAGTCCTGAATGTATTTCGTTACACTTTGTGATTCACCATATCTAAAGGACTTGTGGTTGTAAACTATTTCTAAAGGAAATGATCCTGACGATCATGTATAAAGAAAATCTAAAGATCATGCATAAGATTGACAATCTAGAAGATTGTTCACTAACTAACTTCCGGCAACAATCTTTCTAAAAGTTGTTTGTGAAATTTGAGTTCAACGACTCAAAGATTTGAAATGATGTGGTCATGAGGGGGAGCATATACGCACTGCATTCTTTTTCCCTTCACCATGGTTTTTCCCACTGGGTTTTCCTGGTAAGGTTTTTAACGAGGCAGTATGAGATAACGTAATGCAATCTAGTGGTCATCCAA